AAGTTTCTTACTAACCACAGATTATAATTTTGTCTGTGAGGACAAACACAAATACGTTGCTGATGAAAGTTTTATTTGACTTTAGTGCAATTCTACCTAAAATTTGAATGCAGAGTGTTCTTCAAATTCCTCTCAACACTACGTAGACCTTTCACAGAATGATTGTGTAACAGTGAAATTGTAGACTCTTATTGTTCATTTAAAATGAATTTGAAATGAAGTTAAAATTCCACAAATAATGGCTCTTTGTAGCACTTGTAAAATCATGTTGACAATTTTAAAATCCACATTCACAGATTTGTAAATGTTTCCACAACAAACTTGGAAACAAAAACGCAAACGAAAAAGAACTTCTTTTTTATTAGGCAGTAAAGAAGGTGAAGAGGAGTGATGGAAAATAGGATAAAGGAAACGTTAATGTCAGATTGGTATTTACTATTTGGAAAGCTTCAGTGCTGACAGCCAGCTGGGATTACTTCTATTCGATGAGTAATTCACAAACCCTACCAACAGTATTTTCATGTCTTTATCACACTATTGAGATTTGTGTATCTTAGAAAATTAAAATGCGGCGTAACTGCTTCTGCTTAGCTAATATGTGTACATGCAGAAGAGAAGACCCCCTTTTTTTGACCATGTATGAGAACGACACCACACATTTGTATGATAGTCAAACTAAGGGGAACTGCAGTGATCGTGAAACGGGTTAGACGAGAAACTTGCCACTATATTGCATGTACCTTATTGGAGGTGATAGACCCTTCTAAAATATGACTGCCATAATATTGATATTTAATATTTTAATAGGATTGTGAAAATTTGTAAGAATAAAAGTACAGGAATCAATGTTTGTGGATCTTTATATATAGAACTGTAAAGTATACATGGAGCTGAGGGGACAGGGATCTGCCTCTCCTGCTTCAGGGTTTAAATTCAGTGGACAACATGATTGTAATTCTTAGAATAAAGCACAGAATGAACATGCTGTGATATATGTGAGCTTGTGTATAAGTTAATAGACAAAGGCTCGTGTGAAATGCAGTGGTGGGATAATACCCACTCATCCTAGCAGACTACAGTGTCTTTGATTATTTGACATGACATGCACAGCTGAAAGTTTATCATTACAGGCATGAACATCGTGGTAAGTTGAACTGTTCTTTTTCCTGAGTGGAATGATTGTATACCATAAATATGTAATTTCTTTAAAATAAGAAATAAGTGAACAAGTTTGGATTCAATTTGAAGTTTCTCTAGTTCATAGGGTCAAAATCATATAGAACGGCTTAAACATATCAACAAACACCCCACTAATATTTGATTATGTGTCCCATACCAAGTTGCACCTCAACCAGATGCTTTTGGTAACCATCAATCAGCTTCTGGCATAATTGTGGCTGGATATCTGACCAGACTTCTTGGCTGGTCAAATATCAAATCCCCTCATCTGGGACTCTCCTCAGCTCTTTCTGGGACAGTGGCGCAGCTGCCCCTCTGTTGGTCTTCCTTGGTCTCTTGTGTTCTGAGGGCCTCTGGATGTCTGGAGTCTTGATCTCCTCCATACCTGCTTCATGCCCTGGAGGACGGGGCTGTGCCCCCCCCCCACACACACACACACCTTCTAGCAGATCATTAAATGAAGGAACCTTTTAAAAACAAGCGCGTCCATGCTCACAGGTGTACACACGGGTGCTCACACACACAAACTACACCCTTTTTGGCTCCTACCTCAAAGCACACTGTGCGCTGTCGATCCTACGTGCTGCACAATAATGTTTAATATTTAGTATTTACTGTTACATTCCCATAGATCATCATGATGTTGTTTTTTTTATTGCTCTTTTTTTCTTTCTTCTGCTTGTTTTCTCTTTTTTCTTTCTCAACAGGTGATCCAGGTGATTGATATATGTATTTTTTGTCTGCTTATTTTGTTGTTTTTTGTTTTTTGCCCTTTCTCCCCTTTCTTTTCCCCAGTCAAGTCTGTCCCGTATTTAACAAGTAAAATTAAAATAAAATAAACAATAAAAGGTGAATCAAATAGACCATTACGTCAAGGCTGGGATGGTCAATTTGGTAAAGTAAATCCGTTGGGCATCTTTCTTCGCCTTTAGACAATAATTCTGATGGCAAAAGAGCCAAACGGGACAGGCAAAAAAAATAAAAATAAAAATAAATAAATATCAAATACTGATAGAATTCATTTAAATTGGTTGATCTGGCTTTTAAGAATAGTCACTAATTTTTATGGTCGAGTTCGGGACTCTTAAGGTTCATTCCAGAACCTTAATGTAAGCCTGCTTTATCCAACACCCAGCTGTTTCCAAGGTTCAACTTTCAAGCTGCTGATCTAAGGTGAGGTTGGAGACCTCCTTCTTCATCTTCATTATTCTGTCTGCCATTTACTTTGTGCAATGTACCAGTAACACTGGCAGAAAAACGGCCTCATATTACCATTAACATTGCACCAAAAATTGCACCTTTACTCCTCGTCATTGTGCCCAAATAGGTCAATCTTCATCTTTTCTGACAATAACGCTTTTCTCCGTTTGAGCAGCTGGAGCTTGATTCTTCCTTGGTGTGGCACCATCTCAGTCCATAGCCACATAAAACTTACTTCACTGTGGACAGTGAAGCTGGTGTTAAAGCAGTTTCAAATCAGTGGCAAGCCTTGATGGTTCCTGGACATCCTAACCAATTTTCTCATTCTGAGGGCAACAGTTTTGTTTGGGGTCTTATTCCAGAACTTAGCATAGTGCATAAGAAACGTTTGTACACTTATTTGAAACACTTCATTGTCCACAGTGGAGACTTGAACCCATGAGCCAAAGATTAAGAGTCGGTTGCTCTTCTAACTAAGCCAACCATTCAAACAGTTCAAGCAAATCATTTTAAACCCCAAATTACCATGACACGTGTGCTTATATGAGTGTATGTCAACTTCTGGGCACAACTGTGACTGCGTATAATTCTGAAACTTTGACATGCATTTTATGTCCTGTTGATTAGGTAACTAGTTTATAGGTAGACAGGTTGTTTGGTATAATGATAACTGTTGAATGTTTCACAGTCAGATTGAATGGCACACTGCTTAGATCTTCATAAAGTGCATTTTAGTTGCTGGGAATAAACTACCAGATTTCTAGAGACATTTCTTTATGTTAGCCACTCGTCACATAACAACTGAATGTTATAAAACTAAAACAGGTCAATGTCACCAGTGTGAGTCTGACTGGATTCATTGTATCAAAATGAAAATCTGTAGAAAACGTGTAAGTAGTACAAACATAAACACATGATAATTCATGTGTTTACGCATGTTTTCTCAACTCATACAAAAATGTACTCACTGCTTCTGCTACCATGTAGCACAGACTCTGCATGAATTAATTAATTTATGCTTTCATTTGCGCCCCCTCCAATCTGACATGGCCCCAGCTATACTAACTAATTTGCATAAGGTTAAAAAACACAATTATCTTTTACAGTCAACATCTTTGTTTCTTCTGTTATTGCTTGTTTCTAGGCAACCAGGATCTGAGGAAAACGCAAACTGATGCAGTGTACTACAACATCTATGTTTTTATGGCTGTGCCAGAGGATATTTGCACAGTATCCAAATGTTGTCCACATGAGGAGGAGTTTTGTACTGTAATGAAAAGGCTACTAATACAATTCCTGTTAAGAACTAGACACACTTTTATCTCTATTAAAACCAAACAATAAAAAAACATACAAAACCTGGTCTGTTGTGCAACATTCTTGTAGCCTGATCCATCCACTGCCTCACAGATAATAAACGTGAACACAAAAGTAGAGGCAAATCATCTGATTTCAGCCTGCAGAAACGTGATAAGAAGACTGCGTTCTAAAAGCAGCAAGAGTGATCAGCAACAAAAACGAGGAGACAGAAAAGGGAAAAAGCACTTACCACTTAATCCAGCTAAAAGTAGGGTCAGGGTTTAAAAGGATGAGAAGAGAAGGAAAAAGGAACAGAGAAACATAAAGACACACAGCAAAGCCACCAACACTTTTACAAAGAGCCAAGCAACATGCAGCTAAACAGTACCCAAATGGACTAAAGGTAATAATTTTGTTGTTTAGAAAGCATAACGCTGTGAGGACAAAGACAGAACAAGACATGATGCAGCTAAGACCAAAAAACCCACAAAATAAAATCTGTTTCTCATCTCTCTCTCTCTCTTTAAATTTGAGTGATTAAAAAAAGAAATTTGACAGAGCCAGTATCAGTGCCAGAAAATCAAATCATAAAAAAAAAAAATTGTGGACCGTGAAATCCTGTTTTTGACCAAGAATTTGTTAAAAACTTAAAGGCAAATACAAATATGAGAGCTGAAAACTTACAGAACTGAGATATAGGTGCATCGAGCTGTGGTGTTGTGCCTCCCCTTGCGTTGAGTTTCTGGACCTGGGTCGGAGGGACGGGCTTGTGGGACTGACCAGTGGCCCGGTACATTGCCTGCACCCATAGGATACGGTCTTGCTCGTCATCACTGGCAAAGATCACAGTGTCACCCTCTTTTACTGCATTGAAAAATGTTCTGCCACCGTCTAGACCTGAAAAATAAACAAGCGAAGAACACTTGGTGTGGAAACCAGTTAACATTATAAGAACATTACAAATATTCACCAGTAGCCCAATTGACCTAAACCCACTAACTGCATGTCTTTGGACTGTAGGGGGAGTACCTGGATAGAAACTACATGCAAACACAAAAAGGCCACAGACAGATCCTGGATTTAAACCCAGGACGTTTTGTTAATCACCTCAATATCATGCTGCCCCAGATGTTATTGTCATAATTTTAATTACTATTATTATTTTTTTCACAGATATGGGATAGATAAAGTGTCTTTTTTCACTTCTGTTTTCTCCCTTTCTCTTCCCAACATAAACCAAAAGCAACAATTAGTTGGGTTGGTCTGACCTCTGTTCAGAATGAAGCTAGGTGGAGCAACACTTATTGCCCCTTGGGGATAAATAAAGTCTTTCTGATTCTGATTCTGAACACTTGGAATTATGTGAATTCTATTTGTTTTATGTGCAAATAAAACCATGATTTTCCTTTCATATCCACGGATAAATCCATCAATATTTCTGAGACTTATCTTTGGCTTCACAGACCTAAGTGAACACTGTTGGAGTTTTCAGTCATGCAGAGTACTATGGGTATGTCAACCAATTTGGAAGTCAAACTGTGAAATTAGTCCTTGGACATTGCATGTTATCATCCACTGTGCCGCTGCGTGTGTTTGCACCGTTACCTGGCTGGGGGTCAGTATAGTCCACCGTGTAGCCATCCAGCTGAAGGAGTTCTACAGGCTCGGCCTTCTTCTCTCTGTAGCTGCACATGGCAAAGGTGTACTGACTTACCTACACCAGTCACAATGAGAGGAAATATTCAGTTATCAGAACATGCTAAGAGTTGAACACAGGAAATCCAAATCCTCCTCAAGTGTCAATTAATGTACAGTAGACTCCTGTCAACAAAGGAAGGTTTCTTCACATGACCACATAACATATAATGAGTGGTGGAGACTGGCCAATATAAAGGTCTGGAATTTTCTTTTGGGTGGTTTTATTCCCACTGTATATACAGATACAGCCACTTAAAATGGCTGTCTCATCCCTGACGGTGAATGGTGGACGCTTAACGGATTCCCGACCAATTACCCACCGGATGTTGGGCGGCCGTAATGATCCCCTGCCTGTCACGTGGATGATGCAACCACGAGTGGTAGTGTCCCTGAGCAGCATTTAGAAATGTGGTAGAAAAGTGGTAATGTCTTGCGGCTCCACTAGGGGGAGCAATGTGAAGGCGCATTCATTTACAGGGTGTGAATTAGGCTACTTTTGGTGATAGTACATTAAGTAAAACTAAAAATTTGGCATGATGTTAAAAATACACAAACTCCTACAAAGCAAATTCAAAAGTGTTAAATGTTTTGGTGTTAGTAGTCTTCTTGCAAAAGTAGAGTTAATTTTACTCTAAGTAGAGTCAAATTCTTTTAATGTAACTCTGAGGTGTAAAATGATAGTAGTTAAAATCGAGTGTTAAAAATGAGTGTTTCTATGTCAAATCTGGAGGTGTTACAATGGAAACATTAACTCTTGACCTCTTAACTCTGAACTCCTACAGGGGCTATGACACCAATAGAGTAAATTCACAGACTCCGCCCCCAGCACCATAGGCTCCAATCGAAGCTGAAGTGAAGCCGTTTCAGAACATTTTGCTCTACATATTTCTGAGTTGTTTGCCATGCTTGGTAAGTCATTTTTTCAAAGATTGTTTCAATTATTATTATTATTAGCTTTTACTTCTGTGGCTCTTTGGAGTTGAGACAAAGCTGTGTGAAAGGCATTAGCCGTGTTGCTCGCTGATAGCATAATATTCTGTTTTAGCTAGCTGAAAGGTATTGTTTGCGGGCAAATACAACAGCCTTGAAAAAAAGCTTGCATGTAAATTTTCAGTTAAATTTTTTGGTCAAATACACCTAAAACAATGTCTAGAATGTGAAATGTTGGTATAATGGTGCTACTTAAAGCCTGAAAACGATCTCCCATAAAAAACCTGAGCAAACAGCAGTAGCAGACGTCCTGACTCGGTTCTACGTTAGCATTTAGATCCCTCCAGAGTTTTGTGCACACGGTTTAGGTAAAAATGAAAATGGATGAGGTTTTACATTTAGTTCAGTATTACCTGTTGCCTGTGTCCTTGTCTTTTGGGGAAATACAAAAAGGATTCATTTTTTTTACTGTGCTGCAATTGATTTGTGCCATTAATTAGTGTCAGCTAATTTTTATCCAATCTCCACATAGGATATGCTTGTGAAGATGGAATATGGGGGAGAGGAGAAGTGCGTTGAAGTTCCACAAAGTGATGAATGAAGGACATGCACATTATATTTTGTATTTATTGAAATAAGTGATGAGAATGCTGTTATTTGCATTTACCAGCTCACCTATGTCAGACCTTTTGATAAACAAAATTCTAATGAAAGTGAGAACATGTACACTGTTACATCTTTAGAAAATGTTTTGAAATTGTGGTGCACAGTTCAGAATAAATGTTTTTCAAAAACCATTGCGTCTTTTTAGTAAATGTTTATTTCCAAAAGAAATTTCTAGAAGTTCAGAACAGTAAAATTAATTAGAAGATAACTCTTACGTAGTTAAACTAAAATACTCTTTGAGAGTTAATATATCAACTCTTAACACCTAGTTAGCATTAGTAAGTGTTAAATGATCAACTCCAGACAGATTTGGTGTTTAACACTAAATCAGAGTTAACGTACCAACTCTCCAAAAAGAGTTAAATGAACACTCTCTGGTGTGGACCCATATAGACACTTTAAAGTTGTAATTGTGAAATCAAATCTGACAGTGTTAATTTGGACATGCTGGATTTGCTGTGTACCCTTGTGTGTGCGTGCCCTTGTCATTTCACCTTGTTAAAGGCTTTTAAAAACACCTGTTATGTGATCCATTTCTACCTCATGTAGCTAAAAGGAGTATTACTAGCGTCATTATTATTTTTTTACTGCATTATACTAATGCAGCCCGTTCTCACTCCCGAGGTGTAACATGCCGACGTTTTGTCACGTCCCGCGGCGTTCCTGAGGAACGCGAAAGGAGACCTTCGGCGTTCTTATGGTACGCGGTGGGTTATGGCTGAAATCCAGTGCAATGACGCTCCCGCGGTAATAGACGTTCCAGCCCTGTATTCCAGCCCTAAACCTAACCTTATCCCTAGCCATAACCATAACCTTTTTCCTGGCCTTAACCAGGACTTTAATGATGTTAAATAGCGTGTTTCTAAGCGATTTGAAGAAAAAGAGCGAACATGTGTAGATTGAGTCCATACGGTTCTCATATTTCCTCATTTTTCCGAGGTCGTCATTTAGGAACGTGGTGGGTAGCCGAAAACGTAATATGTTGACGATTTGTCACCTAGCGTAAAATGTTACGCTTTGGGAGTGAGAACGTATTGACTAATGTTATAGTATGCATTTACACCAAGAAATGAATAGTGCATTAGTAAGACTATTAAAAAAGAAAAATGTGCTGTTTGTTTAACCTAACACATTTGTGTTGTAATATGTAGTGTAATACGACACTGACTAGACAGTGTAATGCTAATAGTGCTTTACACTTTGCAGTCAATAAAAGGCCAGTGCTAACCCATAAATCAGTGTATGAGTCTGGTTAAAGATAGTGGCTGTGGTTTTGTCATTGTTTCCTGTGCTGCAAACACGAACTGTAGTGACACCCTGTTGCTTGCTGTAGCTGGCCTGCTGTTATTGTAGCTGCCAGTCATACCAACTTGTCGTCACAAATCACCATGCCTGGCCAATAGACCATTGTCACCACTCCTCCTGTTGCAAGTGGCAGCTCTGACTCTGTCTGAAGCTTCATTCTGTGCACGCGCACGTGTGTGTGTGTGTGTGTGTGTGTGTGTGCGTGTGCATGTGCGTGTGTGTGTGTGTGTGAGAGACAAATGACAAATGCCCACTACTGATGAGCACTGATGAGACCTGAGGCCAAATAAAGAATGGAGGGAACAGCAGCTCCAGCAGCTCCCTGGCCTCCAGGACACCACAACAACTAATCAGAATCTAAAGTACAGACAAGACACCACCCTTCTTTTCCATCCCAAAATGTTCTCTCACTCTCTCTCTCTGTGAAAGGTTGATAGGGTACATACACTGCTAAAAATAAAAAATAAAAGAACACTTTGTAATCGGTGAATCAAGTGAATTACACTGCTCCAATACTGATTTGGTCAGTAGCACTTTCAGCTTTTCTGATGTAATTGAAATTTAAAACACGTGTACTAGAGGGGCCACAATGAAACCACAAAACACAATGGTTTTACAGTTGGAGGCCACTAGTGGGGTGTTCCCTCCTCATCTTTTCTGAGTGTCGTTTTGCTAGTTTTGTATTTGGTTAGGGTTGGTGTTATGGCAACTTGCCATTGCCAGATGGGTTGCTGTGTCTCCCAGCACAGACTCAAGAGATTCAAGGAGATGGGCATTTACTCTGGGAGACCTGGCAAGAGCCATAGCAGTTCCTTAACCAAAGACTACATCAGCAGGACCCATATCTGCTCCTTTGCCGTTGAACAAAGGCAAACAGGATGAGCACTTCTGGAAAGGGCTTGGCTGTGTGTGTGTGTGCTATGACATGAATGCCAAGAATGTTGTTAAAATTATTAAATCTTCATCAGGGACAGACAAATGTTTCTGACTAATCTGTGGACTTCAGGATTGTGGCAGCAGAGTTGGCTAGAGTCGTACCAGGCTCCAAGTGACATTCCTTCATAGATCAAGAGAGCATGAAAAAAGTGTCAGGTATATTAGGATAATCAGCTGCATAAATGGAGAGCAAAATTTCCTATGCTATTTTGGCATCCCACATTTCCATCTCTTTACCTAGAAGGTGCCATGCAGAAGTATTCTCCCTGGAGAAGATCAAGATCAAGTCTCTGGAGAAGAGACATGTTGGTCTCTGGAGGAGGCCAGATTAACTCCTTCATGAGTCATGAAGAACACTGACTCTCTTATACTGAACTGAAAAGCCATTTTTTGGATGTGTTTCTAGAGGTATAGGTAATGTAAACACAGCACCTTCTGTCAGCTTAATGACATCCTAACTCCTCTCAAGCATCTACAGCAGTGACATGAGTGCCACTATTGTTGCTAAAATTCTTAAATCTACGAGGTCAGTTCCTTGATCATTAATATGCAAATTGTCGTGACCATTGATCAACATCTACTGATTAACAACCACTGATCAAAGCATTTCAGTCATTATGCAAATGTACTGTTTATAAGGTTGGGGAAACCTGCAGTCAGCTGAGACTGAAGAAGTCATTTGGTTGATTGACGAAACGTTTCTCCCACTGAAAACATCCAGATGAACAGGATCAACCTTTTGAGATTTACTTACCTGGATGATTGAGGCTGCATCAAGACAATCAGATGGTAGGTGGTTCGATCCATGGCTGCTCCAGTTTACAAGTCAAATATCCTTGGGCAAGATACTAACTCCCAGCTGATCTTTGATGCATCCATCAGTGTGAATGTCTCTGAATGGGTGAATGGGGATGTTGTATAAAGTGTCAAGCAGATTAAAGGCATTACTGCACAGAACACTCAGCTTCTATATATGTGTATATATATATATGTCTTCTGTCCAAGCTGTGCAGGTCAGTATTTTTTTAGTAAAGATCTAGCTCTGTCACGGACCCGGTTCCAGGGACTCTGGGTCCGTGAGCAGTGTGGACCATCCATCCATCCATCCAT